CATTTAAAAAAAAAGATGACATTGCCAATCAATCAGGTATTTATATACTAACAATGTACTTATCATTGCATATGGTATAGGGCAAAAAACAGCTTAATTTGTAATCTAGATGCATAGTAGACAATCATCTCTCTAATTGTTTTGGACAGTCACCTATCAGAAAGCTGACACAGTTTATTTTCTTTAAGCATTTTTCTACTTAGGTCTCTATGAGAACAAATCTCCAACAAAAAGAATGAACTCCACATCTAATTCATCACTTCCAATCAATGCTGTTTACAAGTCATAAACAATATTATTTCCTGGGATGAATTTAATGCTTATTATTGCAGGAAAAGCACGAGGAATCTTTACAAATAACCTAGTTATGTACTCATTACATACTATAAGAAAAAAGATGAAGGACCACTATCACCTCTGAGTGTAGGATTTGTCTTCCTCATTATATAGACTTCATCATTTTCTCCTAATTCTCAACTAGGGAACATGTATCAATGTCACAAAAAGAAAAAAAAATATATATATATATATACACACATATATATAATTATATATGTATTCAACTCCCCATAAAAATGTTCTTTTTAAATAATATTCATGAGAAGGATCACTGGTTCAATCCCAGATCTTCCTCTCACCTTACAAAAGTGAAAACAATCCGAACTATGACTTTCCAAAGCTGACAATAAATAGAATTGATAACAAAACCAACAAGACTCACCCAAATTCATGTTCCATTTATAAAATATTTAGTCCACAATGTCACCCAATTAGAGCATAATCCATAATGAAGACATTATTGCTGACAAGGGAGGCAGAATGGATCTGGGTCACTCTCCCATAACTGTTAGTTCCTCTCAAACCAATAAAGAAAAGTCTGTGTTAGCAAAGTATTCAGCTGACAATGGAAGTACATAGGAATCATGATGTAATTCATGTCCATAAGCTTATTCATGGAGGAGAAAAAGCAGAGATCAAAAATATTTAGTGGGTAACTGGGGAGTTGCTCAAATGGTAATTTATAACACATAGGCACTCCTCCTTTCTGGAGGCTGGAGTCATCACCACCAGAGGTACTGAGTCAATGGACCACAGACCCTCCGGTGGTACTGATAATGGTGACAGGCTGGTATGGACACTATGTGACAGGCCCTGCGATAAGTCCCTTCTATCTCTATCTCTCCACAATCCAATGAAGTAGATGTGAAACTGATGCACAGAGCTTTAATACCGTGCCTGTGATTACACAGCCAGTGAGTGGTAAACTAAGTATGAATTCACTAAATGTATTAATTCAAGCAGTCTCCATTTGAAAGTCCACTCAAAAACACAAGTACTGTTTTACCTCTTCACCAGTCACTCCTGATTCCCAGGCACTACCCTCTCCCCAGTTCAGAATTGAACCAAATATCCTCTAGTCATTCTGTACTACCAGATGCCCTCACTAGTTTTTACCTATAAGAAATCTACACGTGAAAATAAGACCAGCAGGGGGCGTGGAGGTTAAGGCAGCTGGATCCCACATCTGACTTTGCAGTTCCCAGTGGCTTGAAAAAACACACCAAGTACATGTGCACGCATGCCCAAAATCCCATAAGGAGAATGGAGACAGAATTACAAAGTGGCCATACAACCTAAGGATGATTTTTCACTTTCCATCTCTTTCTCTCTCCATCTCTGCGGCAAGTGAACACAACCTATAGCAAAACTTTAAAAAAGAAAAAAACGGAGAGAAAACTATCCTCATCAAAAGACTTTATTTATTTATTTATTTTTAGGTTTGCCATGGAGTACGTGCACTCACCAGAGAGAGACAAAGAGATGAAAAACGAGAAGTCACCCCTCAGGGGGACAGCCACAAAGCAATCATTTCTCCTCCGTTCTCCTTGGGATTTTGGACACACGCACACATGTACCAAGTTGCTTTTTGAACCACCAGATCTAGGACTAGAACCGCAGACATGTGGGAATCCAGTGCCACACACCTGCTGGCTCCCAAAAAAGACTTTTTTTAAGGTTCTTACCATTAGGTATGTATGCTCGCCAGACAGAGAGAGACAGAGAGACAGAAAGTGAGAAATCACCCCCCAGGGGGGATGGTCACGCCGCAATCCTTGTCTTCCACTCTCTCAGGACTGTGGGCATGCATGCACATGTACCTGGTCCATTGACTTAACCAGCAAGCCAGCTCGGTGGCCCTTATTTTATACCAGCAATATGTGTAATATCCATTTAAAAAAAAAGATGACATTGCCAATCAATCAGGTATTTATATACTAACAATGTACTTATCATTGCATATGGTATAGGGCAAAAAACAGCTTAATTTGTAATCTAGATGCATAGTAGACAATCATCTCTCTAATTGTTTTGGACAGTCACCTATCAGAAAGCTGACACAGTTTATTTTCTTTAAGCATTTTTCTACTTAGGTCTCTATGAGAACAAATCTCCAACAAAAAGAATGAACTCCACATCTAATTCATCACTTCCAATCAATGCTGTTTACAAGTCATAAACAATATTATTTCCTGGGATGAATTTAATGCTTATTATTGCAGGAAAAGCACGAGGAATCTTTACAAATAACCTAGTTATGTACTCATTACATACTATAAGAAAAAAGATGAAGGACCACTATCACCTCTGAGTGTAGGATTTGTCTTCCTCATTATATAGACTTCATCATTTTCTCCTAATTCTCAACTAGGGAACATGTATCAATGTCACAAAAAGAAAAAAAAATATATATATATATATACACACATATATATAATTATATATGTATTCAACTCCCCATAAAAATGTTCTTTTTAAATAATATTCATGAGAAGGATCACTGGTTCAATCCCAGATCTTCCTCTCACCTTACAAAAGTGAAAACAATCCGAACTATGACTTTCCAAAGCTGACAATAAATAGAATTGATAACAAAACCAACAAGACTCACCCAAATTCATGTTCCATTTATAAAATATTTAGTCCACAATGTCACCCAATTAGAGCATAATCCATAATGAAGACATTATTGCTGACAAGGGAGGCAGAATGGATCTGGGTCACTCTCCCATAACTGTTAGTTCCTCTCAAACCAATAAAGAAAAGTCTGTGTTAGCAAAGTATTCAGCTGACAATGGAAGTACATAGGAATCATGATGTAATTCATGTCCATAAGCTTATTCATGGAGGAGAAAAAGCAGAGATCAAAAATATTTAGTGGGTAACTGGGGAGTTGCTCAAATGGTAATTTATAACACATAGGCACTCCTCCTTTCTGGAGGCTGGAGTCATCACCACCAGAGGTACTGAGTCAATGGACCACAGACCCTCCGGTGGTACTGATAATGGTGACAGGCTGGTATGGACACTATGTGACAGGCCCTGCGATAAGTCCCTTCTATCTCTATCTCTCCACAATCCAATGAAGTAGATGTGAAACTGATGCACAGAGCTTTAATACCGTGCCTGTGATTACACAGCCAGTGAGTGGTAAACTAAGTATGAATTCACTAAATGTATTAATTCAAGCAGTCTCCATTTGAAAGTCCACTCAAAAACACAAGTACTGTTTTACCTCTTCACCAGTCACTCCTGATTCCCAGGCACTACCCTCTCCCCAGTTCAGAATTGAACCAAATATCCTCTAGTCATTCTGTACTACCAGATGCCCTCACTAGTTTTTACCTATAAGAAATCTACACGTGAAAATAAGACCAGCAGGGGGCGTGGAGGTTAAGGCAGCTGGATCCCACATCTGACTTTGCAGTTCCCAGTGGCTTGAAAAAACACACCAAGTACATGTGCACGCATGCCCAAAATCCCATAAGGAGAATGGAGACAGAATTACAAAGTGGCCATACAACCTAAGGATGATTTTTCACTTTCCATCTCTTTCTCTCTCCATCTCTGCGGCAAGTGAACACAACCTATAGCAAAACTTTAAAAAAGAAAAAAACGGAGAGAAAACTATCCTCATCAAAAGACTTTATTTATTTATTTATTTTTAGGTTTGCCATGGAGTACGTGCACTCACCAGAGAGAGACAAAGAGATGAAAAACGAGAAGTCACCCCTCAGGGGGACAGCCACAAAGCAATCATTTCTCCTCCGTTCTCCTTGGGATTTTGGACACACGCACACATGTACCAAGTTGCTTTTTGAACCACCAGATCTAGGACTAGAACCGCAGACATGTGGGAATCCAGTGCCACACACCTGCTGGCTCCCAAAAAAGACTTTTTTTAAGGTTCTTACCATTAGGTATGTATGCTTGCCAGAGAGACAGTGAGGGGGAAAGTGAGAACTCGTCCTCCCCAAGGGTGGATGGCTACGCTGCAATCCCTTCTCCCCCATTCTCTTTCTAGGATTTTCAACTCACAATGCCCAGCATGAGTTTCAAGCGGCTGGGTCTAGGACTCAGATCATAGTCGATCACGTAGGAGTCCAGCACGTTAACCACCATATCACCTGCTGGCCCCAAAAGATTCTTTTGAAAGACGTACCTCTCTAAATCAAGATAGCAGGTTTATGCCTTATTGCCTGGTACTCCCATGAGAAACACTGTTGTTGGTATTTCTCTCCCTGAATATGCAATCCCTCATCACTGACATTTATTTACTCAGAACTTTTTCAAGGGCCCTCATTCAGAAAACTCTTTTAAATCTGTTACTAATAATACTAACAAGAGCTACTATATACTGAGTAGCTACTATGCAACAGGCTATACTAGCACTGTCTCACTTCAGCCTCCCAACATCCCAATGAAGTAGGCACAGTCCCCATTTTATAGATGAGAAAACAAAGGCTCAAAGAGGTAAAGTAGCTCAGTCCAAAGTCACAAAGCTGGTAACTAAACCTGACTCCATGTAACTTAAGCCTCCAGAGGTCTTGCCTTTTAATGATTAAAATGTGAGCTCCTCCTGGACTTTCTTTTTGAGAGCCACCTTCGAACACCAGATCTGCTCCACTACTATTTGAATCCAACGACACCCAAGCACTTACCTGAATTTCTTCATTTTCATCTACTAGGAGGAAGCTCACAACCTTCTCAGTCATCTTCTTCCTCTTGGTCTCCTCATCCATCTCTTCTGCCTCCAGTGATTCCTGGACTTTGCTGACATGGTACACGGTAATGGGGTGTCTCCTCTTGTTACCCCCCGAATGAGTCCTCTTCTGGCACTCCAGGCACAAGTTGATTTTGCAGGTCTGGCACCGCACAGCGGCCCTCTGCCTAACACCTGGTGAATGCCCATTGGGACCCTTGCAGGGGTCACAGTACGGAACGTGACCAGGTTTGAGTCTTATCCGCTCATGGTTTCGCAGACGCTCTTGCCGGTGGAGCTCCTCCTCACAGCGGAGACACTGCAGACTGCAGCACTCATCGCACTCAAAGACAGCCTCATCGGTTCCGCTGCAGGCGTAACTTTCCTGGCACATCAGCCCTGGATTCAGGCCCTTCTCTGCTAGGGAAGTCTGGGCACTCATACTCAGACTGGAAAGGAAATACACCTACCATAGAACAGTCACAGAGCTGTCCCCAGGCAAGAAGTCAGAGTGAGTGGGAAGACTGCACAGGACTTGCACGAGGTCCTGAACACTTCAAAAAAGAGAACGTTCAGTGTCACTATTATAATTCTTCACACACTCACAAAGAGCATTTAATGTTCTGGCTCTGAAACTCCAGTATCAGCAGCAATGTTGATTAGGTGTGATGGTTTCATCCTCCATAAAGTGCAGGCAAGTATGTGGTCAAAATTAATGTGAAAAAGTCTTTTATGGCTATCTAAGAGAGGCTGGATGGATTCAGTGAGGTGGGCACATCGGTTGGGCCTTACCACAGTTTTAGTGATGAAAGAGAATGTTCAGGAGCTTTTCAATATAATTCAACCTCAAGTCAATACCTTAGGGGGTACCTAGAATAGAGGAAGGAAAAAGATTTCACTCACTTAAAAAACAGAAGTACACTTAAAAAAAAAAAAAGATTGTGATCACATACTAGACTAACAGTGCTAAGAAATCTCATTTTTGCTTATAAAACTTACACTGCTTCTTTTGATTCTAGACATTTCTTCTGAAAATCATACCTCAGGGGCCAGCAGATGGCGTAGTGGTTCGTTGCTGGACTCCCACATGACTGACCACAGTTCAAATCCTGGACTTGGCGGCTTGAAAATCATATTAGGTGCATGTATGCCTAACACCCCAGTAGGAAAATGGAGAAGAGACTACAGAGTGGCCATCCCCCTGGGGGGCAGTGGCCATCCCCTCTGGGGTAGTGATTTCTCACGTACCTGGCAAGTACACACAACCTATAGCAAAAACCTCTCAAAAAAAAAAAAAGAATTTTCCTTTTGAAAACAAACACCATCTCTAGGCCCAAGGTTTAAGACTGCTGCTTTTTATCCCTGAAATACTTTTGATTTAGCTATAAAATTTAGAATCAAAATCTCTACGTAAACAGTCCCTGAAAGGATGGCCCTCTTCACCCCGTCTGCACCCCACAATTGGGAGAGATGGAGAAAGAGGCCTGTAAAAAGCTGGAGAAAAAATATTAATAATAAACTTGAGCTCCTTCCAAGGCCTGGCCGGATCCAGTTTCTCTTGTAACTGGACTGTCTCAACTCTAGACAGATGTCTATTAAGGATGCTAAACCTGGAAACAATAGTCACAATTTCATGTTTAGAAACAATCAAAAACAATTACTGTACTTCCTTCTGTTCTTTCTTTCTCTAACTGCAAAAAACAGAGCAACAGGAGACAGAATTCCTGCACTATGACCCACCGCAAAAACAGGCCTGCAGTAAGTCAAAACAATAATTTTCTTTGTCACTCAAAAACTAACTTAAAAATAACTTTTTAAGAAAAAAGAAGAAAATACAATGGGGGCAAAAAAGGGGCTTTTGTCACTTCTACAATTATACTCCTAACTCATAACCTTGACCCCACATGCCAACACCCCAACAAAGTGTAAAGCTCCCCTCTCAGATATACACTCCTTCCACACAGGCATCATTTATGAATCTTATTTTCAGACAAACAAGGAAAGAGAAGAGAGTGACTGCGGGGCCTTATTTACACTTTAACCTCACACATGCCCAGCCAAAACAAAAACAAAAATCAAAACTTGTCACAATTAGAAAAAAAATGTAAAATTAACCTTCAAAAGGAGACCTCACCACCTCCACCCCCCGCCAGGCCAAGCAAACGATCTGCCCACTCGGACCCCCACCTCGACGCCTCCTTCCAGCCGGCGGTTCTGCACCCTTCCCTTCCTCCCTCCCTCCCGGAAAACACCACCTCAACCCGAAGGACAGCAGCGGAGCCTAAGAACAAAGAAGGCCCCCCAAAATCACCCCGACGCTGGCAAAGCCCGCAGCCGAATCCATTGTTTATACCACCCCACCCCCACCCTAGCCGCACCCGCCCCCCCTTCCTCCCGGGACGCTGTGGGGGCGGGGGCTGTTCTTAGGGCACCGGTGGATCCATCCTCATCTCCGTCTCCACCTCCCCTCCTCCTTCGTTGCCTCCCGGGCTTCCTCCTCTCCTGTTGTCAGTTGGGATCAGCTGATCGGAGTGAACTTCTCCCAGCTCAGACTAACAGGAAGGCGTGAGCGGTGCAGCCCAGGGAGGGAGGAGCGGGAGGGGTGGAGTTTAACGCCGGCGTGGGCGGGGAAAGGGTGCGCACTGCCTCCTGGGACATGTAGTTCTCACCTGCACGTCCTGGCCTCACATCCCGGAAGTGAAGACACTGAATGACTACAACTCCCAGTTCCAAAGAGGATACTCTTCCCAGGAGGCGGTGGAGACCCGCCACCGAGCATTTCGGGACTTGGAGTTTTCGCTAAGACTGGTTTCAGCCTGTTGTTTTGGGTAGGGGGCCTGGAAAGGAATGGCGCTAAATTGGAGAACTAATGTAATAATGTTTAGTCCAAGTAGAAAATGGGGAGGCAAATAATTTGGTATCGAGTAACAATTTTTGCACACCAGTTCCTCAGAAATGTCTCCACTTCCCAATTTCCCCTGGTATAGACCACGAAGAATTCACAGGAGAATATAAATTTAGTACTCTTAAGAGTTTTATTTTGTCCTGGACAGTACACTCCAGGCTAATCATTAATTGTTTTTCCTGCCTTTTTCTGACTTTTCCTTATACTGTTTAAGAACTTTTGAATTTTAAATTGTCTTTAAGTTAGACCGGGGTACATTTTCAGATAACCTTTCAGGCTACAGTGCAAGCTAATGGTTAACATTGACTTTTTTTTAAATGGCCTTCTGTTTGTTTACTTTCACTTTTTTTGTTTTTCATCCTTCCTTAGAATAACACAGAGAGAGCCTGATATTAAGGAAAAGAGCAATGCTCTGTGAGATTGAAGACTGGATACTTGGTCTAGAAAAGTGCTTGATTATCGTAGGTGGCTGAGGTAAGTCACATGAGCCCTATCTAAAATGAAGAAATTAAACTGTGCGATTTCTGAGGCCTCTGCCAATACTAATGTTCTGATTCTATGTTGATAATTGTTAACCAGGGAAAAAAAACTAAAGTTAAGTGACTTGCCAGAGTTACACAGCAAATTATTGACAAAGCTAAGACAAGACTCTTGAATTACAGAACATTTTCACTTTATGATTCAAGGGACATAATTAAACTAATAGGAAAAACAAATCTACATAATAATGAATAAGCCAGGTATGAAGATTATATTGCTGAAAATGTATTCAAGGCTAGAAAGAAAGCCAACAGACTAAATTCACATTACGGAGAACTCTTATATGTATCAAAAACCAGAATATTAATAAATACACACATACTGTATAACTGCTGGCTTGGTGGTTCCAAAGCTGGATTCTATACCATGATTTGAGTCCCTATCTAAGGAACGAAGAGCTTGCTTTTCCACGTTCCCTCTTTCTTTCTCTCTCTCTGTCTCCCATGATTATGATTATTTTATTTACTAGTAAATAATCATAATAATGGGACCAGCAGATTGCATAGTGGTTGCATTGCTGGACTCCCAGATGGCTGACCACAGTTCAAGTCCCAGACCCGAAGGCTTGAAATTGGCACTGGATACGTGTGCGTGTGTGCCCAAGATCCTGAGAGGAGAATGGAAGAGAAGGGATTGTGGCATGGCCATCACCCCGGGGAGGTGATTTCTCACTTTCTATCTTACTCTCTCTCTGGTGAGCACACGTACCCTATAACAAAAATCTCTCTCTCTAAAAAAAAAAAAATTCGTAATAAATTAAATTAATATATATTTTTTTATTTCAGGGGCCACCATGTGGCGAGGTGATTAAGGCACTGGACTCCCACATGGTTAACCGTGGTTCCAGTCCCGAACCTGGTGCCTTTCTCTGTCTCTCTCTCTCATGAGCGTGCATGCCTTGTAGCCAAAATTTTTAAATAATAATAATCATAAGTTAAATAAATAATTATGTTTTTAAAACCCCATCATTTGGGACCAGCAGATGGCATGATGATTATGACACTGGACTCCCACATAGTCAACCATGGTCTGGACCCAGTGGCTTGAAACTCATGATAGGAGCCCATGATCCCTAGAGGAGAATGGAGGGAAAGGAATTGTGGTGTGGCCTTACCCCCCCACTCCCCCGTGTGATTTCTCTGTCTATCTGTCTCTCCACCAAGTACAAATATCTTATAGCAAAAATCTATCTTAAAAAAAAAAAAAGTTATTGATTTAGGGCCAGCCAGGGGTGTGGTAATTAATGTGGCTGGATCCCACATAGTGTCTTGACTGTGTGGTTCAAGTCACAGAACTGTCAGCTTGAAAAATGTGCCAGAGGGACCAGCAGTTGGTATAATGGCTATGTTGCTGGACTCCCATGTAGTCGACTGCGGTTCGAGTCCCAGACCCGGTGGCTTAAACTCATGCCGGGCACATGTGCGTGGGTGCCAAGATCCTGAGAGGACAGTGGAGGAGAAGGGATTGCAGCGTGGCCATCTCCCCTGGGGGATAATTTCTCACTTTCTGTCTCTCTGTCTCTCTCAGTCTTTCTGGCGAGCGACGCACCCTTGTAGCAAAAAAATCTAAAAAAAATAAAATAAAATAAAATAAAAACGTGCCTGATACGTGCAAAAATTCCCAGAGTAGAGAGAGCAGGTAAAATGGTGATTAAGGTGTAGGATTTTCACATGGCCTAAGGTGGTTTGAGTCCTGGACCTGGTGGATTGAAACACAGTAGACACTTGTGCATGTGTTCATGCCCAAAATCTCAAGAGGAGAATGGTTTGTTCTTTCTGTTCTTTGCTATAGAGTTTGCAGCATGGCCATCCCCCCTGGGGGGGGGGTGATTTCTTACTTTCTGTCTCTCTGTCTCTCTCTGTCTTTCTGGTGAGCACACGCAC